TTAATAGAAATAATACAATTTATATGTAACCGCTTTCTTAATAATTATATACGATGTGCGCTAAAAAATTTATATGATTTGATTTAAAATGTACATATGCTTGTGCATATATATATTTAAATTTTCATTTTTAGTTTAAATATATTTTAAGCTACTATTCCCAAAGCTTACTATTTCTGAACTGAGAATATGCATATGACATGATACACGAAACTCGGAATAATTTGTTATACAATTATTTACTAATAATTAACTTGAAATTCAAGGAGTAAAGTATTTCGTATAAATTATGTCAGTGCGTTAAAATATTTTGTCGCATTAATAAAATTTAACTTTCATCTGGTATTGATGTTTGATTTTCGCAACGTATATTGCGCTAATTGTAAACATAATATCGTCATTCGTGCTGCTTCAGCGAGCAGATCACAGCTGTATGTTGCAGTTTCTAAATGCGATTATTTTCACAATGTTACAATTAACGATTAATAATTAATAGATAACGATTATTATTCGTAAACATATTGAAATGATAATTATTTGATGATCCAATAATAATGGGCAAATTAGGTTTAAATTGATTAAAATTAGAAAATGCGCCAGGTACATTCGAGAATTCGAACATTCAAGAAATAATTATTATTCCAGAGATATCAGAATATAAAAAACTATAATCTATAATCTTTACAATGTTTTATCTCTCTGATTTCTATTTTAAATGACAAAATCGTGTAAAATATTTGCATTGATAAATAGCAATCAATTTGATACTTCGACTAATTAATTATAATAATTATGGAAAACATTCACATTTAGATATCTTGCGATATTTATTGCGATTGCGTAAGAATATATGAGATGCCGAAAACGATCGCATATATACAGAATAGCCTATTATACATCGCAAAATTCGACACTCGATTTTGCGGCATGTAACACGTTGTTGTTTACATGCGGTCTTGTTGTCATTCGCGCGACGAGGTTCGAACAAGTAAGCAGTCGTGTATTACACGCATTACGTTTCTAAACTAAATCATTCTATACGATTGCTATAATTAAGAATTTATAAGCGTATCGAAAGGATAACTATTTATCAAAGTAGTCAATCAAGAATTTTCAACTGCCAGCAATGTAATAAAAAACGTGTTGCATGCGATTAATGTCGAGAGTGCCGTAATAAAATTCCACAGGATCGTCGTATTTTGCTGTTTAATGCGCGAACGATCATAATTAATCGTGTTTTCGCGAATGAACAGTGTGAGTGATAAAGAAGCAGCAGTGAAGGATGAACGTAAGAGGTTGCAAACTCGAGAAAGCGTCGGGAGAGCAGCCGTAAGATGAATTATTTATGACTTATTTAATTTACAATTTAGTACTTCAAAAATTTTAATTGATTATTTATCTCTGCAATATCTCTAAATTTTATTGTTTTACATTATTGCCCATAATAACGCATGTAAGAAAATATTTTATACTCTACTTTTAAAATAATTAAAATAAAATGCTTAAAATTTATTTTATAAAATATATATAATAAAGAAAAAAATTAACATATTTTTATATAAATATATGTTTATATAATTTAAATTAAGAAAAAAGAAGATTGTTGTTTATCGTATTTCGCAAAAGTTAAAAAATTTTGGGACCCTATATATATTTTTTTAAATTAAATATCTATTTAAGAAATTAATTACCAAATTCAGTTGCTCGCAATATTTATTATAATATATAATTATATTTTGTACACTGCTTTATAACTTGCTTATATTTCCATTACATAAATCAATGCTGCGTATGACAAAAAATAATTTAAACAACAACTTTTTATCATTTGCCAAGATTCTTATCGCAGATAAAATGATTCCAAAAGCATGTACGTCATTCACGCCAACCAAAGCGTAAAAGCGTCCTCAGATCTATCGAGCCGTTTTCTGATACGGGTTTTCTCGTGCTGTCTGCATCTCGATGACTTTCGGGACTTTTTAGCCGTGCCGCTAGAGAACTCTCCATGCTTTTCTCGTGTCGATTCCGCCTCCCTCTACCACTCCGAGGAAAAGGGTTGGAAAACTCGTGGTCAGAATCGGAGTTGAATCCAGTAGAAAGAGATAGAATGAGAAGGAAGGAAGGAGAGACAGAGAGAGGAAGAGGGAAAGAGAGAGGCGATATGCGGAGGGTGAGTCGGCGGCGGAGGGTATGCGGATGAATAGCGAAGGTAGGGCGCGACATGAAAGGGGCGGCGGATCCGAAACCCCGGGTCCAGGAGCGGAGAGACAGTAACGCTACTAATATGCAAATCTTATCATCGGATTTATTCGTCAGCTCCGCGACTCGTCGCGACTATAACGCTCCTATTTCTCCCCCTCCTTCCCCCTTGTCTCTCTGAGCTGTCGTTCTTCCGCACGTCCTACATCGTTAATCCGAGTTAATAGTATGAATTAAGTGGATTATATTTCATTTACCTGTGGAACGTCGTGAGAACGCGGCGTAATTCAATTTCCAGGCGAGGAGTTTAAGATGTTTTGGCACAGACTCGCCAGTTCGCTGATAAGGAAATTCGTACAATAGAAATTTTCGAAATTCACTCGGTATATAATATTCTTTTATGTATCTCTAATAAAGAATCTTTTTAAATTTTAGTTATGCATATATATTTTGGACATTTTTTTCACATCATGTTTTTGTATTGATAATATTAATTATTTATTTTAAAATCATATTGAGTGCAAATTTTTCGGAAATTTTAATGAAAAAGAATTGAAGAAACGTATCTATGACATTACATGTAATCGTTTCAAGAGTTTGAAAAACTAATTGACAGTTTATGTATGGAGTGCGTCCTTAAACTATTAGTCGTAGGTGCATTACCCTGTTCAAGGACATTATTGATATTTCATTATCCGATATTGGAAATTAATAACAAGCGGGGAAGGCAGACGCGTTCAACGCCTTCCCTTTAAGTGCTCGTACGCTTAATAGCAACGATATAACGAGCCAATTAAAGCCGAACTGTTCTTACACCGGAACGTTCGATGACTTGTTAATTGTTAATAATTATTAATTGAGTTACAAAGTGTAAGCAATTCGCTTGTTAAAATATCGTCTCTCTCTTTCTCGTTTACTCTCTTATATAATTTATTTAAAATTTTGAAAATTGTAATATTTTGATAAACGTCACATTATCATTGATCCTAATATATTTCTCGACATAGTACATATACAATCTAGTGTTTGGCAAAGACAGCTAACGGCAAAAAAATTAACTTCTCGTGAAGGATCAACGATAGCTTTGAGCTATGGGAGGGAGCAAAACAGATTGGTGCATGTTGTATTTGTTTTATCCCCCGCGTGGCCTGTAGACTGAACTTTTGATCCACTCGACGTGTACACGGTTTCTCCCGGTAGCCCAGTAGCAATAATATATTTGAAAGCATCGAGCGTCTGGCCGGAAGCAGAAGTGATTTCATTTCGGTGTCGCTGGAAGGTAGAGACATTGATAGCTACGGTGGAAAAAAAGAGAAAGGGGAGAAAAAACGAAAAACGAGGTGAGATTGAATTGCTCCGCGGGGACAAGAGGGAAGGAGGGACGGAGGATGAGCAAAAACGAATGGAAAAGTGCGAGGAGGAATGAAAGATCGGATAAGTGCTGGCCTCTCGCCCTTCTTCTCGGGAGGGCACCTCGTGGTGGATGAATCGCACTTCATGTCGATGAGTAGCCGTTACATTCCGTTTCCGAATAGTCTGACGCAAATGAACTTGATTTTAAGGGAAGATTGGCGAGGAGCGAAGCGCAAATTAACTAAAGAATTAAGACGTACACTAGAGGCGTAATGGTGACGAGTAATTATTACAAAAATAATTAATGATAAATATAATAATTAATGCTGTGTATAATGAAATAATTAATAATGTGTATAATACATGAAAAATATATTTATATTTCAAGTGGCAAATTGAAAATAGAATATCATCCTGAGAGACGTGAAATGATAATAATGAAAATAATGCATAAAATAAAAATAAATGATAAGTATGATGGAAGAGGAGTGTGTTGCGAATATTTACATTACTGCATTGGTGAGAATCGATGTTATCTTGCAAAATATGTAAATAAATAATGAATACTATATATCAATTCTCATAAAGAGTATTCCAGAGAGAATTATTTATATAATTTAATTCTCGGTACAATTTAATAAAATAAATGTGTCTGTAATAAAGAGAAGTTTCAATTAATATTTTAATATCAAATATAAATAACATGTACATATATGTATACACGCGTAGATGTATTTATAATAATATTTTTTCTCTCCATGAGAGAGTTTAATTTGTCAATGGAATAAATATATTTCTTTTGCACGATTATACATATCGTTAATTGTTTCTGTAATAATTATTCGTCACTGTTAATTATCTATACTACAAGTTATTAACATGTACATAATTACTTATTACATCGGTAATTAGATATTATTGCGAAATTAATCGTCAATTAAATTTTATATATAGAGATGTTATGTATAGATGTCTCGATGTATATTATATATTTGCAAATTAAGAGGTCTTCATTAAAGTATCGCAACAATGAAATTATGAAAAACCATTTGTAGAATTTTTACAATTGATTTTATCAGATTAATTTTATAATTTTTTAAATAAATTTATATATATGATTTATAAATCCATTATTATTTATAAATCAATTATTAATTTAAATATTAATGTTAGTTACCTAATTAGAAAAGGTTAATAAAGTCTTAATAAAATTAATCATAAAACTTTGCTACAATACTTTAATAAAGAATTATCTATTCAAGTGTGCAGTATTCGTAGTTATATCTTAATATCTATATATAAAATTTAATTGACGATTAATTTTACACATAATTATAATAATAAAAGTTGATAATTAACAGGTAAATTGATTATATATTAACTATAAATCACAGCCTATTACAATATTAATTAAAAACAATCGTAATTTACTTATCACTTTTTGCGTGTAATGTAATTATTTGTTGCGATGAAAAAGCGTGCATCTCAGGCGGTCGCAATGTTACGCCCAAGCTTCACGTTACTCTGAGATCGTTTACCTGGTGGTGGGCACTTAAGCTTCGATGGACTTTGCTTGGCAGAACGCCGTGCACTCTCGCTCCGATAAAACCGCAGCTGGGCTCGCATGGAATTACGATTATTTATGACCCTGTGACCTAAACCGGAAGTCTTCGGTCTATAACAAAATTGCTCCAAGTCAATCTTCTTGTAAGCTCGCGATTTATAACTGCAACTTCTATAGAGCTTCTGGAAAATCGCAAAATATTCAAGAAAACAGTATCATTGAAATCCTAAAACACGCATAAAGGCAATTTGTTTTAATTTGAAATTATAATAATTGTACGTTTAATGCACACTTGGAAAAATTTGATGAATTCCTGCGTCTGAGAAAATTATTTTGAATACGTTTAATCGTTTTCTCAATAAAATACTCTTATACCCCATATGTTTGAAATATGTAAAGGCAAAGTATAAACGGTGAAACTATTTCATGCGTTAAACTAAACACGCAGTTTTGGAAAATGCTGTTCTTCAACATCACTTTCCTGATCGCGGTTTTATTCCGTTGCTTGCGGCACGTGATACGCCTTCCTTCTTGCCCCTAAATAAGACTGATCCAGGAGCGCTCCGTCTCTCTTGAAATATATAGTTAACTCAGAAAAGTAACATTTTTCAAAGTTGATGCAACTTGTACGGACGTGAGCGTCCGCACGGTAGCTATTTCTATCAATTGCGCACATACATGATACATGTGTTGGCAGATGTATATGGCATTCGATATTTTTACATGATCGGAAAACTTGTATCAAAGTGAAACATTTAGATTCACTATAATTGAGTGTGAATATTTTCTATTCAAAGAAATATATTTTTTGTCGAGTTTTTATTCGGAGTATTTATAGAAAAAGTTTTAAGAATCTTTAAGATAGAAATTTATAATTAAATCATGAATTAAATAATATTACATTATAATCATATTAATTATATAATATTTTGATTTATTTTTAAGCTGAAGATATTTTTAAATAAAAAATTTTAAATAAAAATAAAAATCTAATTAAGTAAAATATCAGAGTGACACGTGAAAGAAAAGTTTTCAACTGTTTCACAATCATAATACGATAGTTTACGGTTCATGTAGAAACAGGAAAGCAATAGCAGGTGTGTCGCGTGAGTGTCGATACGTAAAACTAGTAAATCTGGCTTCATGCGCATAAAAACCTGGACCTTGTACGATCGCGGCGAATGTAGTTTGCTAACATCAATTTTCCACTTTATGGAGTTTCGTTACTTATTGCGCGTACGGTTCTGTTACGCGTGCGTTTTACCTGTTGCCAGTCTTTACGTGGATTGAAGCTACTGTAGATTGCTGCGCAATCAAATTCCGCACATTGACATGCGTGGACCGAACAATTACTTTAGAATTCTAGCGGTGCGCGAGTAGTGCATTATCGAGTTATATGCTGATATAGCTATGTGACCCTAAACCAGTAACTTTCGTAGGGAAACTTATGCAGTATCGCACAGAGATACTCATGCAAATAAGCGCATCATTGAAATGGCGTGCGTTCGGTGAATTAATAATTAAATGAAGTAACTTGCCTAGCGCGTGTTCCATAATTCTACTCCACGCTGGATTGATCTAACGCTGTGGAGAATTCAGCGGGATATTTGTAAAATTGAATTTTGGCAGCCTATCGTGTCACAGAACATATTGATGATAATTCCAAATAAAGTTTCCAATATGTTCGAATTGTTATTATATGTATGAATTAAATCGATAAGTCACATTGACCTAATCATATGGCGTGGAAAAATGGTTTCGCATTAACGCGGGGAAACTCTACCATTTTCCGGAGTTATTAAAATCTGCGTGAGTGTGTACACCCCGACGGAATATATACGTACGTGTAGAGCAAGAAGCACGTACACATGTGTGTTCATTCCGGTTGCATGCTTGTGTGTTCATTCACGCACGCACACAACCAAGCGAACGGCGCGAATGCAGGACCACTCTGGAATTAGAGCATGTAAGGAATGGTTGATGGGCGCGTCTCGGCAGTCGGCGAACTAGTCGGTTTTATGGGGCGATGGTTTTACGAGCTGCTCCCCATTTACCACCCTCTAACATTTACCGGTTATTCGTGCAAGGAAAAGGTACACGGACGACCTCCGATATCCCCTTCGCCAATGTATCCCCTGGAATCGGATTCACAAACGACGAGCCCGAGGGTCGCACTCGAAGCTCGGGGCTTTTCTTCGAGGCAAGCACTTACCGCGCGTTTCTGATCAGCCTAAGAGAGTTTTCGGTGACGTGGTAACCGTGGTTTTAGATCTTTGTAAAGCTCTTTAGGGGGAGTTATTCGCGTGTGGATCGTTTACGTTGCGCTAGCTAAAAGCTCATCGAGATAGCACGGCACGTTGATTACTATGGTAGTGCCGAAAGTAGCTGCCGAAAGTAGGATGGATATTGATGTTGAAAAAAGAAGCGAGGAACAGGAAATGGAGATGGTTTTACGAATATTATGATTATTTTATATAATTATTTTGATTATTTTATTCCGAAGACTTTATATTGCTTTAAATTGAAATACGTGCTTCTCTGTTTTTATTTTTGCAATGTTACTTTAATACAATATTAATTAAATATGTCTCGACTCATGTAAAATTAAGAAGAAAGTTAATAAATTAAACTTTTAATAGGAACCTTATCAAAAATATCTATAGACATAATGTAAAATTTTTATAACTTTATTAAAAATTTTATTGTTGAATTTGTATTATTATTAACATTCAAATTATTTTTACATTTCTTGCTTTGCTTTTAAATTTTATCGATAAAGTATAATTATGGATTTATGTGTGTATAACTTCTTTTTTTCAAACAAAATTATTCGTATAATAGTTTTTTCTCTGAAAGTTTTTGTTCATCGCTATAAAAATAGAGAAACAAAGTAGTATTAAATAAATTTGAAACTATATAAATTAGAGAATATTTTTTGGACATATTATTTATGCGAAACAGGAATAAAACAATGTAAAAGTTGCTGTAATTTATGTCCCTCGCGATTATCGAAACGTCTTTGGTAAGAGATTGTCGATCATGTTGACATTGATAGACATAGACTATAACGTCGAATAACTGGCCACTCGTCGTCGGTGGTCTCTATCGACACGAAGATATCCTTACACGCGGCAGTAACTGTCGAAGACGAGTGCAACGAGAGTTTCGACCTCGACATAAAAGGATCGAGGAGAAAGAAGTTTCCCTTCGGAGTATTTATGACGGATTCGGGGCCAGACGAAGGTCCGAGATGACAGAACGTTATGTCACGCCCTTTTGAGAACAGTTGGGTCGACGAGGCCATAAGCAACTTCTGCACGAGAGATCAGACGTCGGGAACGAGCTACGTGGGTTTCAGGATATATATGTATGAGCGTGTGTATGTTGCGTGCCCTCACGTGTGTGTTGGCATCGATTGACAAGCGAGGCAGTTTGAGAAAGCGGGAGGACATAAAGGAGATTGGACGAGGACGCGCGGCACGCACGTAAACTCTATAGGTATCCATATCTCTGCCCCATTGATACCAATATCCGATTGCTTCTTCGTTATGCAGCCTCCGGAACCGGCAATCTCCCGGCAGCTCTTCGCGCATATGCGTTCTCTTAAGCCGGAATCGCGCATTGAAATTGTTGTTCCGTTGAAATTCTCCGATAGAAATCTAATTACGCTTGCTATTGGTGTTTATTTCTCTCGCGGTGATCTAAAAATTATACGAGGCACAAGAAAGAAATTGTAAATATTATTGCAAAAATTCCGCAAAATAGTCTGAAAAAAACTGTAATGGATGACAAGAGAGAAAAGTAATCCACACAATTTATACAATTATTAGTCTTCCTAAGATTATGCATTTATCCGCGGGCGTTATTAAAAGTAGACACCATTTTCTAAAAGAGGTGAAAAGATAAAACTTGAAGTTAAAATTAAAAAAGTGTTAACAAATTATTTTGCGAGAATATTATGAGAATTTTATCGTAGTCCTTCTTCGGAAGTATACGAATTCCGTTTGAAACGTAATCCATGCATTCTTTATTCCAGCTAAGTGTAGCATGGCGCAATCCCGTTAAAACTTAAAATTACTCGTCCGCTACATAGTTAGAACCTTTACAAGATTGTCTGCATAATTCATGAATAATGTTGCCCCGATAAGTCCAGGGAATTACAACTTTCGTTAATTCCGATATTACGGAAGAAACTTTCATCCCTTTGATGGATCTTGTATATCTTATTTTTCCTCTTCGTATCTTTCCTTATATAACACGCCGTTTAATAATATTTCAATATCATAATTTACACGCTGATAAACCTGAGTTAATTTTTTTGTAAAAGAAAAGAACTCTCTGCTGCTTGTTTTCATTCTAAATCCAGTTAATGAGTACAATCAAAAGCCACATTGGAAATCGATTCGCGCGAAATTACATCTATATTGAGCATTATACATTACGTATTCACACTAATAAAAGCTAATCGTGGTCCAACGATTCATGGACTATTACCAAAGACTTGTCGACGTATCTTTGATGCTTTTGTAATCGACATTTCGGGTCTGTACGCGCGATTATGTCGTGCTTTACGTCATCGAAAAGACGAAATTGGCTGTTTGAAACGATTCGTACCATAGCTACGTCCATAGAAGTCGACGTGTTAAACGTCTGTCTCTCAAAACACGCACGACGATTGACGTTTGAAATTCGTCGTGCCAGTCGTCGTGTATTTCGTCATCCGTTTGCGCGAAATCGTCACGATTGAATCAATTCGTCGCTTCGGTCGGATATTCTCGACGAAAATGTATGCGCAAATCTTGTGTTAGCAAATTCTCGATTTATCGCGTTACGCTCCAGATAAACATGCGGTATTTAATCAATTAATGAAAATAATAATTTAATAAATTATTAAAATATTTTTTCCACACATCATTTCATATATTATAATTATCTAATCATAAAAATTCCGAACAACTAATAAATCTAATTCTTATTAAGATTTTACACTTGCAATAATCGAGCCAAATTTACAAATTCATTAATAGAAGAAATTACTGGTACGATATCTTTGCAATTTAATCCGTTTGTTAAAGATATTTTTAGATGAGAGAGAGAGAATTAATATCAAT